TAAATTGTTTTGTTTCTACACGACGTGGAGTTGTTCATTCCGTGGCCACAAATTTCATTTTCGCACAGTGCAGTTTCCCCCGGTATTCATGAGTTATGTTCAAAATGCTATGTTCGAAATGCAGCCATGATTTTAGTTGAGATTCATAGAAGAAAATGCTGTAATTCTGTGACATCGTTTATTTCACTATCTATGAGGTCGGTAGCACATTGGAGTATATAAAACTTAATGAAAACAAGTGGTCTTAATAAACTAAAACGGCATTAATAAAATACATGTTAAGGAAATAAACGAAATTACTGACTTACCTACATGGTTTTCATTCAAAGCTTCCACCATTTTGAATAGAATGGAAAAATAAAGAAATGCCTATATAAAAGATTGAGGAAAATAAGACTCTATTCGGCAAAATTAAAAGACAAGCAAAAAAATTGCAGTTGGAGAATTTATCTTAAGTCTAAAACAATAATAACTAAGCATCATCCCCTCGTGTTACCATAAAAAAAACTCAGCGGTCGCTTTTTCTTTTTTAAAATTATATATAATGTTAGTCTGGTTTTATCAACAGTGCTGATGATGTGAATCGGCTGCTGTAAGACATAAAATGCTTTTTTTGATCAGGCGGAAAAAAGGATGCTACTTGCGACATATTTATCTTATCTATATTCAGTATGCAATTTTATTGAACTTTCCAAAATTTTATTTATTTTAAGAATGTTTTGTTTTGTCGAAGTAGAAAACGTTAGGTAAAGCGACGTTTTCTCGCAGATTGTAAACTCCAGCCTATATAAATGCGGTTTAAAAGGATTATCAAGATGCCCAAAAATAAAATTTGATGATTTGGTTTCGTATACTTGGTGAGTAAGTGTTGTAAATGATAACGTTCTCTTATTAATTAATAAAATGGCTGCGTAAAGAATCTCACAATTTTCTGAGCTGCATCTCCCTTTAATTTATGAGACAAAAAAGTTGAAAGGAGGATTTGGGACGAGATGTTCCAATTGTATCAACTGTTACTCCGTCTTACGAATGAAAATATACAGAAAATCTAAAGTTAAACCTAGAGAGCTAAGATTCGAAGCTATTGTTTGGAATATTAATAGTGCAAGACTTTTAATATAATCTCGGCGTTTGTTTTGAAAACAGAGATGTCGTCAGAAAAGCTGAAGGTGCGTAATTCAAAAAACTGAAAATCTGGAAAAAAACTCTCTCTTCGGTGGTTTAGGCTCTGCGATATGAAAGATTCTACCATTTTCACAAAAGATTCTTCATTCAGAGCCTTTTATAATTTTAAGTTATTTTTTTTTCAGTGATAAACAAAAAAATTAGATCACTTTAGTAATTTCCGCAGTACAAAGGAAAGATGATGCTTTAGTAAATATTGGTTAACTCTGAGAAATTATGATAGGAAACTTCTTATTTCTTGAAGCGCTGACTAAGTTTGAAATCACGTGTCTTGAAGTTACTACCAGGGAAATCTCGCACTTACCAAGTAACTGGGATATATGCCAAGAGCCATTCTGATTTCACTTCACTAAATCCATTGCGACTTAAAACTTTATGAAAAGCTACTGTTAATTAGAGACTGCTAGAATTTTTGAAGCAAACTGATTCAAAACAGCATGGTTCTGGGTGCCATGGGGTAATTCATGTATTCGCATACATATTGAAAGAGTTGCTAGGTTATATGAGTCAGGAAAATTGTTTTAACTAAACATTTGCGAGAAGGTTCTCAGTTAACCTGAATCATGGACGGAATATGATAACAGCTTAGATTGAAAAATGGGAACATCGACGGGGCTGCTACAAACAGGCTATCGTTATTTTTATAATATTTTGACGGACGGCTGGCGCAATGAGAAGAAGTGAGTAAATAAGAAAATAAGTAAAACATGAAAAAGCAGGTTCAATATTATAAATCGCAAAAGTAAGCGAGAGTAAATTAAAGCTAAAACTGGGGGCTATCCGAGGATATACCGTAAATTATATCTCCAATTTTCATACATTACGTCCAAAACAGTAACTCTACGTTTAAAATGTAATTTTTAAAATGAGAGAACGTTGTATATTTGTTACAGAAGAAGGAAATGTTTGTTTTGTTCATAAGGGAACACTGAAAAAGTGGACATTCCACGCCGTAAATGGTAGGCTGTTCGTATAAATTTTTCCCCGCGTTGAAAAATATCCAAAATGTAATAAGCGCAAGAGCGTCCATCAATAGCATAGAACCCTTGCCTCCATTTGGCGCGAAAATTTGTACAAATATTTGTTCGTGGACATTATCTGCTCCTGGAAGCCCAATGTTCTTCGAGCTTTGCTCTCGGAAAACTGTTGCATCTCGGTACGCGGACAAATGTCCGTGTATGTGTTTGCGCCGAATGCTGGCTATTGTTTATTCATACACCACACATTCATTTTCGCGCGACTCTACTGGCTATTACGTCACATGGTAAAAATCACCGGAAAGTTATGACGCTGTAACGTCGACATTTGTCCTCCGATTATCTCCGTCGAAAAGAAACAAAGACAGCGGAAAAAGTCAGCTCAGGAGTTTTATTTTCTCATCTTTATTACTTTACATGAAAAAAAGGGACTCCTTTTGTAGAGTCCAAGGATAGTGACATTAAAATTGCTGATCTCAAATGCTGCTCCGGAAAAGTACAAAAGAGTCGACAAAATTTGCTATCAGCGCGCGAAATTTAATGGGAGGGTTATATAATAAATAAAACCCTTCTGGCTTACTGGTACGAGGGCTGATAATGTTTTTGGCTGAGGGAAATGTCCCCTAAATGTCATATTTGCACTGAAAGCATCGCTTCTCGTCCGAATATTCATTTTCGGAAAATCTCTTAGACGCAGTCATTATTTGTCGACATATCAGCCGCCTGAAGACGTTTATCTACTTAATATTGTACAGTTATTTGGACAGTTGATCATTTTGTACTATAAAAAATCTGTTTGACAGGTTGGCTACACTTGAATCAAAAGAGAAAACTGAGAAAGTGAACTCTATCATTGTTCTTGGTACACAGCCTTCTGTTCCTCAAGTACTGGCAGCAATTCCTGCGAAGCTCGTCGCCTTGTGATTGAGTCGGATGAAGAAAATGAAATGAGGATTTGAAGTTCTCTTTAGCACCTTTGTTAGATGCTTAGAGAGAGTTTGTCTTTCGGTAAATTGAAACGTTTTTGTCAGTGGTGAAAAATTATTCAAATAATGTTCATTGTTGAAAGGTCCCTTTTGGATTTGCAGCACTTTTAAATGTGAACGATTTTTAATAACGAGCGCAAATATAATTCAACTTTAAATCGTTTTAAAACCGTGTTTGACAGTTTGACGTCTCATGAACCAATCCGACCAGAGTGTTAACATGCAAGACCTGTCGCAAATCGCGTCTCTATTTGCTTCACTTTTCCCGCCTTAGGAAAAATAAAATTCAACTTTAAATCGTTTCAAAACCGTGTTTGACAGTTTGACGTCTCATGAACCAATCCGAAGAGTGTTAATATACAACACTTGTCACAAATCGCGTCTCTATTTGCTTCACTTTTTCCACTTTGTGCGGAAAAATGCATATGAGACAAACAGTTGGATACTCGCTGTTTCATTCTTGACTCGCTTTGCGGGCTCTTCATAATACGGTACAGCTCCTAAAATGCTCAGCGATACTACACATCAAAACGTCTGATGAGATCCACAAACTTTCTCTTTTCTGAACTTTTTATTGTTTCACTTACCGTTGCGTACCTGAAAACTTGTTGTTAAACAAAGCGTACTGAGCACTATTCTTTGTCTTCTTTGAAAAGTTATTTTCATAGGTGATCGACGGAGTTCAGTGTATTTCTGCAGCGTGACTGATTCGAGGATGTAAAAGAACTACAAGGTATTTTAGTAAACCAGCTTTGTGGCAATTTCGCAGTCAGGTTCAAAATAATGTGACACTACACATTTTAATTTAAGAGGAAATTTTGTATGTTATGTGTATGTGCGATACACAATGTTGGTTTATAGTCCTAAAATCCATCTTTGAGAGGCAGGACACTCTGACTATTGAAATACTATCGAGTAACATTTCATTGTTTTCATTAGTTTACTGGCGTAAAAACACCGTGGGATGTTAGAAGACTCATAAAAAGAAATTGTATTTTGCTGGCCGAAGGCGAGTAATTGACAAACTATCCTATCATCAATTATTTTAGTTTGATAGGTATCAAAAATATTGACAGCTCTGGACACCGACAACAGTTGGATGGGGTTTCTGTCAGCGAAATGAAAATCTTTGCAGTAAGCTTTGTTATGGGAACAATTTGCTTGCAAATTTTGTATAAGCTTTCAAAACATTATTTGCTTCAAATAGCTCGTGAAACAGAAATGTTGAACCAGGTTGCAGATTTTGTGACGAGTTGAGCTTTTTACATGTGTTATTAATTATGGCGGGTACAATGCATAAAGATTTTAACTCATAGAGATTGATAGTTTGATAATAAAAACCGTCAAATATCTAATAAACCAATGGTTGTTTTTTTGTGAGGTGTTTAGGAAGTTCTCCTGATTCGCGGTTCCTGTATTGTTATTAATTATCAGGCTCTGTGAGACAGTTTGTTTGATTTATTTTGGAGGGATTTCATCGTGATGTCACATTTGGCGTGAATATTTTCGAAGGAACATATGCGACTCTGAGGTTTGGTCAACAAAAAGGCGTGTGGACATTTTCCTATAAAATGCTGGAATTTAAGAACCAAAGCGACTTTTGACTGAAATAGATACATTCAGTTATTGTAAGGTGAGTTAATATCTTTTTTTTCTTTTCAGATGTAAACCCGTTCGAATTTCCGACAAAGAAAGAAACAGGTTGAATATGATCGCAGTACTGAATACAGCGTATGTTGTTCATCACCTCTGCTTTCTGTTATGTTTCACAATGGAACTTCGGTCTAAATACTAAAGACGATCAATACCAAGCTCTTTAAAAAAAAATGAATGCAATAAATATCTGGCTTTTCGCTTTCCTACCGACGAGTGACTGAATCGCCTAAATTAAAAAGAAAAAACGCTCATTTCGATTCTAACCTGAGGAAAAGCTTGAGTATACCAAAACAGCCGGATATTAATAAAACAGATCAGAAATACTGTCATGCGCTCTTAACACTCTCTTAAAACATGAAATAAGTACTTAATTTAGGACCGGGCAAATCCTCCCTTTTTGATTGATTCAGTTTTGTTTATGTTTTGTTAATGTTCAGCGTTACTCTTTACAGATTTGTTTCGGTTTGATCTCCTCCGAACTTAACCTCACTGCGGTTTAATAACTCCCCATGACGTCAAGTAATTAGTAAATAAAAGATTTTATCGATTGTATCATCAGACCTTTGTAAAAATACACTACAAATAAGTGTTTGCGTTTAAAGATCTTAAAAGATATATGTGTCATTTTGAGTCGTTTTCGCTTACAAGATATCTTGAAACAGCAATTATCTCCTGTGAAATAACTACGAGCGAGCGGTAGGCAACTGGATTTCCATGCGAAAAAGTCGCCCTGTATTTCAAACTAAGAGGTATCTAGTAGATTTAGTAAGTCCTTCAGAGCGTGAAATAAAAGGTAGCTCTTTTTCTTTTGTCCTTTTTATTAGCCATAAATTTTGGGATGTCATCTGATGCTGACGTCATCAGTGTAATATATTCCTTCAAAATATTGACTGATAGTGACGTTTTAACAATATCACACTCTTTTTCTTTTTCCAATTTAAATCTATTATCTTTCTCTTTATAATGTCTGTCAGAAATACCAGATTTTCGGTAAGGTTGTTTGTCTGGATTTCTGACACTAGTTTTTCATCCAGTCAATGTCTTTTTTTTTTAAATTTGCATCGTTCTGTTTGATAAACAAAAAAAATGGCAATAATGATCATGAAAATAACAATTATGTTACTTCCTTTCACAAGAGCGAAACATTTATCGTCATTTTCTTTGATCTTCCCATTTCTTTTTTGTACGAATGTTCTATAAACTGCTCTCCATACATTTGAGTAAGGTACGGACAAGGAGAATTTGTTTAACAATCAAAACCTTCTTTAGTTGGTGATCATTCACTTTACTATCGTGACCTTGATGTACGATTTAGGGAAATGTGTATGATGCTAGTCACTCGTGGGGGTCATAAACTTTGCTGGCATAATTTTAGTGATTCTATCAGACTCTATGCAGCCCATGTAAGCGAAGACTGAGTTACATGAAAACTCTATCTTATGTTAAATGATATAGGAATATTTTCAAATGATATTTCTATTTATCATTGATGTCATTTTTTAGAAAAGAGACAGGAAAATGGGTGAACGAATCACCCTGTCACTGCACATAAGTGATGCAAATGCACAAACACGTGCCTTCCGAAGCCAATCTTTCAACAACCCTCCAACTTTATCAACTCATCGCTCCAGAAGAACGCTAAGCCTCCCAGCGAGAGAAAAACCGGCCATTCCCCCGCCAATCTCGGAGACTCCCGAGGACTCCCGACTGGATGACGAAATGCACCCCCCAGAACAACAGCCCATAAAGAGTTACCCAGAAAACTGTCATGACGAGATGCGTAAGTACATTCACTCCAAGACTAGATGAACTTTGTCGTACCTTGAAATATATTTGATGCTGAAGAGAAACATTCATTATTTCAATGCCCAAAATCAAGCCAATTTGGAGACGATTTTGTTCTAGGATCCTGCTATATGCTTAACCTAAAATATTGAATACCGTGATTAAACGACTATCTATGGAAAGTCGGTTGGGCGACTTAGATCATACTTCTTTCGAGATGTGTTAACACTGAAATACCGTTACCGTTCATTTGTTTTCTTGACGACATTACACTTAAGAATTTCCCGACAGGATCGAAGCTAACTCTTGTGATGAGATTCGAGATTCCCTGTACGTCCCTCGAGTCTCACAGCCAATAGGTTCACGAAAAAAACTAACCAATCCGCAGTTTTCAGAGACCAGACCTTAAAACACTCGACTGATTAACAAAACTTTTGACATAACACGAGCGGTAGTCATAACTGGCCTTCGCAATAGAATCACTCTTAATTGATGCATGCTGAACTCTTAACAATGTAAAGAATTGAATAGAGCGCCTTTGCTTCCTAGATATCAATACATTTATATACTATAAATAATATTTATTGGACAGAATGAAGTCCATTTCGGCCTGTAACCATCCGAACGATAGATTAACCAAATCGGCCGATCGCAAATGGGAAGTTGGATTTTTAATCGCGTGTATCATCACAGACACAATTGGATTACACGAAGTCCTGTTAGCGGTGAATTATAACTATGAAAATTTGAGGAAAAAAAAAAGAAGAAAAACAGCCATTGGTTATAAGTTTTCATAAAAAAAACAGCAATGAACTCTGCAAATTGCACAACAACACCTGCCCTACAAACTACAATGATGTAACACCACAGTATTACAAACTTAAGATTTTACAATACAATATAATACAATTACAGCACAGTCACTGTACAACATACTTACGGCTACAAGGCCGGCATATACAGCACTCACACATAAAAGAATACAAAAATTCCAGTCCTAATTCCCTTAATTGCACACATAGTTACTTAAAGCTTTAAAAGAGAAAAGTGTGAAAGAGAAGCAAGGCTTTTAATTCATGTTCTCGATTTTATATTTGAAAGCTATTTTATGGATAAGGTAAAAGAGCTCAGGTAACGAGCTTTTTTGGAGCTTGCTTTTATATATATCATTGCGCAAAAAAAAGAATTGTGCCATCCAATTTCCTTGATAGCATAGTTGATACTTCAGTTAGTAAAGTGGCTAAAGTAGCTGCACATAAGACACGTCCTTTCCAACTCCATGAGCATGACGCGTAAACACTTTGAAATTCTATTTATTACATGATCGCTGTCAAATTACGTGCATGATGCCTAAACTATCCTATCGATGCTCAATTATGGCTGGTGGTAACCAATCACGTTCGAGAATTTGCTTTAGTTTCATTAGGCTACATTATTAACTCGTGGACTGCTTTTTCCTCTTCTTACAGATTGGTTTACACCAATAGCGGGACTCTTGATTAGTCTTTTGTTATACGTATGGGCATGCCTCCTGTCCTTATCAGCTGACGACAAGAAAACCATTTTCTGTATCTCCCGCTCATGAAGACAAGTTACGATTCACTCTATCATTAAATAACATATTATTTGCAGTCTACGCTAAAAGCATATTCAAAATTTAAACTATTACTATGACTATTAGTTCGCTGTTTCTTGTTCTTCGTTACTGGTGTAAGCAATTTTGATGGCATAGGCAATTGACCCCTAAATACTGTTTGAAATAGCTTTCTAGGTGGATCAGATCATTAAAACCGAAAAGATTAGATGTTATGAACAAGAAAGATTTGTAAAGTAGAAGACTGACATGTCTCAACTACAGACTTAAGACAAAATAATTTTCATCAGGCAAAACAATGAAATAGCCGTCCAGACATCTCTTTGCCCGACAGGATAAGTAGTTACAGGATAATTGGCGTAATTTGGATAAATTTGGTAGTACTGTTTTTGTCTCGATTAAGGGCCTGTCAAATCAATTGCAGGACCACTTTGATGTACTATGGGCATAGAACTTGACAATAACCTGAAATAAATTATATCTGGAGATATTTTTGTTGTTTTTTCTTAGCTCCATTTGTGTTGTACATCATCAAAGCAAGAGTTATTAATCTTGACCTTTGTGTCTTTTCGAGTACAATGTCAATAAGTGACTTGATGGAATTTCCGGCGTTTAAGAAGTGGGCATAATGAAATTGGATCAGATTGGTAGGAACATTACAAGTGGTAGAGGAGAAAAATGAAAAAAACCCACGTGATTATCAAACTACACCTCCCCTATAAAGGGGAATGGGTAGAGAGGTCTTCTATTGAAAGGAGGTGCCACGTGATCATGATAGACCATGATAGTTCTGCTTATTAGTCTACACATATGACTTGGTGAGGTGCCCCTGCACAACTTTCATGGTGAAACTTTTGGAGTAGAAAATTTCTTCATCTTTTTAAACATTTTCTCCTGGTAAAGCATCAAAAGCTAGCACTCGGTGGCATCGACATAAAACTTTCCATTCTAGTTTATTTGCGGCAAAATACTTTGCGCTCAATGAATAAAAGATATTTTTTCTCGTACGTATTTCTTTTGATGTAACCATCTTTCAAGTCTCATACCGCCGGAAATTGCACTGTAGTAATCAATAGTAATCACACGAATCATCATAAATTATGACCAATAGAACAAAGTAACACAACAGTGAACACGTGGAAATACTCAATCTGGGCAGAATAGAAATAGAATATAGATTGATTTTTCTGAAAGCTTATGAGCCTGTAGTTCCAAGAAACAGAATTGAGCTGCTATCTGCACAAAAGTCTTCCCCATATGATTCGTCGTATTTAAAAATTCATGTTCTCCCCAGACTTCTAAGCCTGTGCCAACGCCACGAAATTTGCATATTGTAGTTCACCCCACGTTACTTGTTTCTATGATTCGCATATCCACGATCAAAAACCATCGTAAAAGCTGACATGTGTAGGTTCGGACAGATTGACTTGAGGCGGTCCGGAAAAGGCAGCCTTGGCTAGCTCACAGCGTTCCTTGCATTTTTTTTTTTAGAACTTGAATCTACCGTATTTGCTCGATTAAGCGCACCCGGCGTTTATTTAAAAATCGGCAGTTTGGGTTCGGCGCTTTTTCGAGGCCGGCGTTTAACATGGGTCCGGCGTTTAATTGAGAAAATATGGTAATTGCGGCACTAAAATCTCACTTAAAAAGAAAGGAGAAAATAAGATGAATTAAGAGTTTTTTGCTCCTTCTCGTCGAAATAAAAGAATAGTTTCGCTGTAAAAGTCTTCTTTTTTTAGCAGTCGTATACGACTAATGGTCATGGGATAAAATACTTATCGGACTTATTGATTGAGCTAGGCCGGGCCGAAAGGGAAAATATTCGGGTCTCGGTCACCATGTACGGCTCTTATTGCGCTCAGTCTGTGCATATTGACGTCAAGCCAAAGACTTTCCCGCACGGCCCTGCCACTTAGTCAATAAGCACGTATCATTAATTTTAACAGCCCTGTCACAGTGATCGTGGTCTTTTGGGCAACTGATCGAACCCGCAATCACATAAGGCCACGTTAGAATTTTTTCACTTGAGAAATTTCTTAGAGGTGATCAGTATAATCTTAGAAGCCGAGACAACATGGCGCTGTCGACCATCTGGTCTTTATTCGCTTCATTTTCACTCCTATAGCGACTTTGACACGTTAATGGATACTTGCCACCCTATCCTGCTTCTTGAAAATTATTGAGCCGTGAAATTGTGCTTTTATGACTTTTTTTATAGTTGTTATCAGTAACAACATCTCTCTTGATTTTATGTGTTATCAATGTCTCTCTGGCCTTTGCATTCTCAGATTGGGTCTGCTTATACGTCTACAAAAAACTTATGAGTTTTCAGTAAAGTACACCTCAAGCGACCTTGTCAAATTAAGAATGCAATACAGATGGATTAGTGCCAGAGCTCTGTTTTAATTTTTAAACTGCTGTTATATGATAGTCGCATATTTTAAAAAAGTACTTTACATCTTCCTTTTGTTATTAGGGGTGCATCGACTTCAATTTATGTCCATTTAAGGCATATCAAAGGAAAGTAGATAGTCCGTTCTCTCTCGTTAACGGCCAACGACGTCGTCTTGACGGCACGTTTCGAAAGTAATTGCGTCAAACTATCTTGAAATTGAAGAATGTGACACGATCCACGTTTTGTATTTAAAATTAACTACAGAAGACGAGTTTTACAGTACTACTGACAACGCCATCGAAATAGGTCTGAGGATTTGTCGGACGAATGGAAAACACCAAACAGGGAGAGTGGGTAGGCATATGAATTTTATAATAACTTGAAACATTCGATTGCAATACTCCTGTTGTAAATTCTGCATAGATATTGCAATGGGATTTTCGTGACCTCAAAGGAATTAGCTTGAAGCAAATAACAGGTATTAAGCAGACACATAGGTCGAACAAAGCCTTGTATCTATTTTCATGGTATTTGTTATGGGAAATAAACTAATTATTGGGTGCATAGTCGATTTTTTTTTTTTTTATTAAGAATCTAGTCAGATATCAGAATCTATAAAAATCTCTGGTTAGGATTTTATTAGTTTCCTGAAATTTTAATAATCGTCAAAGCGGCCCCTAATTAAAATGTTTCCTCAAAATTTGAAAGTCAATAATATTTGTCTAGAAGAGAAGAGCCTAAATTTAATTTTCTCGACTCAAAAGTAGATAAAATGGCAGGTATTGTGCAAATTTTCACGACAGAGAGTAAATATTAGTCCGCTTTGTCAAATGTCTGAAGTTCAACGGGCGGGATTTTGACATGTACATGTTCGTCAAATCTTGCTATTTTGCGTCGAGAGGTGACGCTTTTTGCGGTGAGGTGTGGGCGATAAACCACAGATTGAATTGTGTAAGATTGAAATGAGGATGTTGGCCATAGGTTGATTTGCATAACAAAAATCTTTGACATCAACACAATTTTTTGAGGCAGACTAAGAAAACAGATCGCAAGGGTAAGCAAGCTGAACCGGAAAAGTCATTATTGCTGTCAGCTGGGTGTGAGATTTAAGTTTAATCTGACATAGCTTTTAAGTAAGATTTGAGATCGGTGAATTTATTTTAAGGATGCATTTGGGAGCTTACAGTTTAATTTCTTTATCGTGGTAAACAATTAGTCTCTGGCAAGTACTAAGAATACGAAATCTATTCCAGTTTGAACGTATGGAAATCGTAAGTTAGAGGAATGTGTAGGCAGACTACCACTGTATGTCACCTTCAGACGGAACGTAAAAACGCATAAAGATAAAACGAACAAATGACAAAAAAAATTATTGAAATGCGAACTTACGAAAGAGCAGAACCAGCATGAACGCCCGAAAAAAGCACGAGAAACAGTTCATGTATTTTTTGAAGTTTAGGATAAACATTTTCAAATCGATTCTACGGAAAATGCTAGATATCCAAATACGTTAGGATTGCTTTTGTTATTTGGCCTTAATTTTTTTGGGCCGGAAGCTCAAATGTTTTTTATACAAATATACTGGAAACTTCCGAAAGATAATCTGGATTGTAGTCATAGAAATCAGACAAGGCAATCAACCTCTCACAGCTTATAAAAATATTTGTGGCCGCTCAAACTTTTTTTTTTCTGTTTTAAATTAACCATTTTCACATGGCTGCGAGGAGAGAAAATGGCGCCTGAGTCTTAAACTAAAATCGTGTGAGATAAAATGTCTTCAGAGCGGCTTGATCCTAATTCCATCTGAAGAAATTAAACCCATGACCTGCGGTTTCTGTCAAAGATATTTTTGTTAGAGCAACTTAGGTTCTATAATTAGAAACTATCAATAAATTTATTGACCAGTCATTACCGGTTTGCATTGAAAAACGTTCATCAATTTTAGGCTTGATTGACGAATACAATTCAGCCACTGTTGAGCTAGAATATTGCTGGCCACATTTTAATTTCTTTACATCCTGTTTGTTTGAATTACAGTCTTTGAGTATATGACAGTCATTGTTCGTGAAGTTCATCAGATGAACCAGAGCTCGATTTGTTTTCACAGCCACATATTAATCAGCGTTCAAACGAAGAATATTGTGCTTTATGTTGTTTAGAATAAGGTCTCTCGAACACATTAGGATCACGAGGAATCGTTGTTTGCTTTTTGGATATCAAACACTCGGCGATTTTGAACAGGTATTGAGCTGTTGACGAAGCCATTCGCGATTCACTACCAACACAGGTTAGTGTCATGTGAATGTTTTCATTTTATAGAAAGAGACGAAATTTAACTCATTGCAGTGTTTGAGATACATATGCTCCAATTAACAGTCTGATTAATTTTCCTCAACGCTAGTGTTTAAACCAAGCAAGTACCTTAAATTGAAAGCCCAGCATACAAAGAAATATCATGAAACCGTAGGAAGTAACGCGATTTAAAAATATCGTTTCGTTCATGACCCCATTTGTCTGTGAAAATCTCGTGACCAAACTAAACAAAATTTAAGTTGGTATACGTCACAGGTAAGTTATGGGTTATAAACTTCCTCTCTTTATTTCTAGAAATTAAAAAGAAACATTGTCTGGTTCTTTCCGGTAGTAAGTCAAAAACATGAAGAAATTTGTATTATAACCGGTGTCTATAGGATATGCAAATAAATTGTGATTTTTGATTTCCAAAACACGAGATTCAAATAATTAATTTTCTTGCATTAAATCTGTCCACCTACAGATTCTTCACAGCAGTTTACACGAGATTAAACACCAGATGTTAGTGTGCTTTTAGTCTAAAATGTTTTGCAACTTGGCCATATATTATTTCTTAGAATTAAACAGATCCCGTTTAAAAACCGAATATTCCTGTCTTTTCTTTTTGGTGGGTAATTTGAGAGTATGCAATTTTTGGCCAATACCCTTAATGTAATTGAACAACGATTGTTAAAAAAGAAAAAAAGGTGAAAGCGATTAATCAATAACGTTGAAAGGTTACTTAAGGACAAGTTCATATACGTGCGCTGAATTTTGATTTCTGTTCCTGCTGGAAGGCCTATATCATCTGAGAGTAGCCACCTTTTTTTTTAAAAAAAAAAGGGTGTATTGTAATGTAAACAGAAGTTATTCGCTAAAACTCTGCACGTAAAGTAGTTTAGCGGATCAATTAATTCCTAAAGTTTTTAAACACGTAATTGCTGAACGTGTTTCAGCCATGGACTCGAAAGATTTTTTTAGTGCAAATTACGAAATGCATTCATTTCTGTTCCACTTTGAATGTTAAACATGGCCGCAAATGGTATGATTACTGTCATCGGTCCGTCTGTTCCGAGTACAATTTAAGTTGTCTACGGTAATTAAGAAGCGTTTTAGAATGATTTAAAAAAGTCGCATTAAGAGTTACTGAGCTTAGAAGAACATCTGCCTTCACCAAGAAAGTGGTGAGAAACAAACCCGGAATAGGTAAGGTTACGTTAAAAAAAAAAAGAAGAAAAAAAAAAGCGGAGATTTGAAATATGAACAACCGCAACTACAGCAAACTTGTAAGAGAACAATTTTTCTTCAAATCTGTGGCAAAAACTGCAATCACTGAACATCTTACCGCGAAGGAAAAAAAAGCCTTTCAACAAGAGATTTATGCCATTTTTAAAATGCGACAATCAAACGTGTTAAAAATTTAATACATTTCAAAATCTAATTTTCACCATCTGGCGAACTTTCATGTGAAGAGAAAAAAAAAAGGTGTAGAATTTAAAAAAAATACAAACGCGAAATTATTCGAAATGGACTTGTACATCAAAGGACTTTTTACGATGCGAGATATTTTTTCGTCAAAACCGTTTTTCAATACATTTCCGTCTTAATGTTAACCTCACCAAAGTTGATCTTCGTATTACCCACTTACGAAACTGATTACTACCAAATCCTTCTCAGGATTTATTTAGAAATTAAGGAAAAAAGTACTGTTTTGATCTCTAGTTTTTGCTGTTTGTTTGTTTGTTTGTCTCTTTCGAAGCCGACGTTTTGGCTTGCCACGTAACGCACTCTACCGAGGCGAAAATTTTGCGAGACGGGCCGAAGACACGCATGAGAAGCAGGGTAGTGTGGATTTAAATAAACGAAATATTTTGTAGATTTTCAAATTTCTGAAATTTACACTCGAACTTTAAAGTTTGATTTCAGAACTCTCGACACCATGTACGAACCTCACCTGCTTACTCCATTCCAGGAACGGCCGCGCAGCACTCGGTCCCATTCTCTCAAGCCAATTAGTCAACCTAATATTCTGACTCAGAGAAAGCGACTTTACAGCCTCCCATCCAAACCTGTAATCCCGCCTCACATCACAATACAAGCCTGCCAAGACAGCAGCCAAGAAAGCTTCAGTGACGAAGAAGAACAAAGAAGTGGATGGAGTCATGAAAGTATGGGTGAGGGAGTGATAAACCTTTTCAATTAAAATCATAATTTTAGATTATTTTTCCTACGAGGCAGATGGTCCCCTCTAATTAGAGGAGCCTCAGTACATGCATCACTTTCGTTCTCAGAGGTGCAGTTCATATTACCAGTTCTGTCACTGCTTGCTACTGTCTGATGCAAACACGTTTCCCCAGACATGATGGTAAACTGCAATAGGAAATTTTGCTTTAAATTTGAGCACAAGTCACAAACTCAACCTCCTTTATTTAATGAATGGCAAAATGTTTGAAATTTGCTTTTGCTTAATTATCTTACTTTTCTGTTAAATTAATTTTTTTTTCTGTCAGCGTGGTACACTCCCGTTGTTGGACTATCCTGTAGTCTTGTGATGTACCTATGGTCATGTATGCTGGCCTACTATTCGTCAACATAACTCTCTGGAAACTATCGGGTAAGCTTCTTTGTTGATAAGACGAAATGTCACTACGTTCATCTTCTTAGGTTTTTTGAAGCAATAAACTCGAAACGACATAAAGATTAAACAAATTTAATATCACAACAGCGACATTACATCCAGACATCCGACAACACGATTTATAATGAACCCCAGGACGTAGAAAAGTCAGAATATTTAACCTTTCACTCCCATGATGTATGTATGTGCGTATGTATGTATGATCTCTTCAATAATTCTCCTTCCTGCCTGTCATACATTGCTTCTAATTTTAGTATGGAGAATTTGGTATTGAATGAAATTGCAATCCACTAATTTATGTTTTCCTATATTCTCATCACTTGTTCACTTGAGATTGTATCGATATTGTAAGGAGAAATTCTGTCTTGGTCACAACTGAGAGTGAAAGGGTTACACACAATAGGTGACAAACTCGAAAAGGGACCTAAACAATAAAATTACGAAACTACAGCTCAAGGAATTTTCAAATGTTTCGCTGAAAATACCAGACATAAAAAACACCGAAAAGACACTCAAACTGATAACAATAATACGAATGTTTCAGAAATACAAACCCAACAACGCAAATTAGAAGACACGGCACAATTTTTCGTAATAAAGATATTGCCTTTTCCTTATTAATATAGTAAGCTTGTCTAAGTGCATTTGCTCAACTCGCACCGCTGGTTTAGATTTATTTCAACAGTTGTGAATCGTGCGCAGAGTGGTTCTGCATGATGGCGATGTCGAATCCTTGGTTCTACCTTTCAAAACATCGTTGCACAAGATGTAATAAATGAATGCTCTAGGTAATGGTTCTTTTTTTCTTCAATCGTTTTTGCTCCTTTGATTTTTTTCGCCCAGGGTATCAGGAGGAAATTTAAAACCAACGAAAGATGGAAGGAGCAGCCGCGCTTACATAAAGAGGAATGGAGTCGAAACCAAAATTCACCAAAATTAGAAACGCCACAGAGTAAGGAATGATACAGTCCAATGAAAAAAGTAGTAACATGGAAGATAAAGAGGGAAATAAAATTGAAAATGAAATGGGAATTACAAATGGAAATAATAGACAACAATTATGTGAATTATAGACAGATATAGCACCGCGTTTACGTAAAACGTGAGCGGCAAGAGTGATCACGTGACCCCGATTTTCCCGTTATATTTCACGTTTGCCGGCCGTAGCTTGCTGTTTCTACGTTAAAGTGAGCTGTTTCACGTCTGCAGTTTACGTAAGATTTTCTTCTCCTTTTCTCTCACAGAGTAGAAGTTAGTTGCCGCAAAATTGCAGAATAAGTATTTCCCGTAACTTATACAAGGGCAGATGAAGTTTCATGTTTAAAATCCTTCAAATACCTTACTTTTCGTCAGCAGACTGCTGCAAGAACTCACGTTGACTCACGAGACAGCTTCATCGAAAATCGAAGTGACGTGAGCTCAGTCCCGCGTAGCCAAAGCAATAAAGTGAACGTTATTTTACGTGAAGCGTGATAGGGCGAACGTCATGTTCGCCTGTTCGAGTAAACGCGATGCTTAATCAATAGGGCGTTTTAATTCCATTATCATGCCTGATAAATTCTATATTTTTCAAAATCAAGAAGAGTAAACGGCATCGATAACACAGCTAGTTTATTTTGTTTGTTCGTAATTTAAAAAAATTGACGATAAATGTTCCGTTTGCACGAATGAGCAGAAAAGCTTCACATTCAAAATTGCTTTTACATGTCTTATCTTCTATTCAAGATCTGACTTAATTTGACCCTATATTCCTAGTATTCAGTAAAGGGGCCTTTATCACATCTCTAAGTACATATGTGCGCCATGAATGGTCAATTAAGCGAGCGGTATTTCAGTATACGGCACACGCTAAATTAAAAAGTTTGTTTGAATTGAAAGCCTTATCCTCTATTTGAACCCAGAGATGTTATAGATACCTTACTAATCTCATGGTCTCGGTCCGTACTGTAAGTTAAGTAACCTCGTTCTTCCGTAAGTTACAGTACCAACCTAGAACAATTAACCAATTAACATAATACTTTACTCGATATTTCACAAGATGAGAGTTACCATTTAGCCAGTAATTAACAACAACTTTAAGGCATATTTTGTTGAAACTTTAATTCGTAAACCTAATGTTCCCCTGATTCATGAAGAAACTTCATTTTGATGTAACAATGAATATATTTAAAGTGTTCGTTCGCCGGCGAACGATCAGTGGAGCTCTCATAAAACATGGGGGAAAACATGCTGAAGTCGTACAGTTTAACTTTGGACCTTTTTGATTCTTAATTTTTTTTTTTCGGAAAACGTTCTTCACAGTTATATTAAGTAATTGTCTTTGAAACGTTCACCACTCCTTTTGACATCATAAATATAAAATATTAATAATGATAATAATAACAATACTAATAATTAATTAATTAATAAAATTTGCCATAGAGCTTTGTTTATGTCATCTCTTGTCTCCAAAAGTTGTAATCATCCAAGGGATAGACAAATTATATTTGATTTTCCCCAAACTGAACTTTCACCTCCTCTCTTAACGACATCACATGAATGTAAAAACAAAAAAACAAAAATGAAAGAATTCAAAACAACTGTGCAACCAACCGTCTTCTTTGACTTTTCAAGGCTTCGAATAGTAGGCGAGCGCGCATGCCCAGAAATATATTACGAGGCTGCATGAGAGTCCAACAATTGGTGTATACCACGCTAAAAAAATGGGAAAGGAATTGAAAACTTGCGATTTATATAAATAAAATAAAAGATAGTAGGAATATATAAAATTTTAAACAGGACAACCAGACATACGTTGCGAACTCAATGGAGCTAGGTAGATTAACAAAACATTGGACACGCATTGATTGATACGAAACTTTTCTTAGTTCGTCATGTTGATTCAACTTCTAAACGTGTCTAAAATGGTTGAACGATATCTAAGTAAAATATATCAAAATCTCCGAAGTAACGCGGACACTAACATTGTGCTTGTCAAAAATTATTTTTTTTAATTCAAAAATCTCATCTACAGGGCATCAAATGTCTATAACTGTAACATACCCATTTCCTCTCCAATTCTCACACTTTCATCTTCATCACTTTCGTCCTTCCAGTTGTCTTGACAACGCTGTATGTTAATCAGCGGTAGTAGCACAGGTTTCGATGGCAAGCTCATTGTACGTTTGGATCGTTGCTTGAACTGCATCATGGGCTGGCTTTGTGGTTTGAGGGAATGCGACCGTGTGTTGCGCGGACGAGCAGATAGACGTAACATGTCGGCTTCAGTAGACATGTTACGTAATGTAGAGATTCACTCTAAAAAAAAAAAAATCAAAGAAACCAAAAATAATTTTAAAACTTCTATTTTGGCCTACAAGAGCTCTAGAATGTATTTCTCAAACTGAATTTACAATAAATTATGTAAAAGAAAATAATCTCAAACATTTCGCCCGCCATTAACAATGTTATCAGTGCATTTGCGACACAATGATTAGTTACAACGCAAATGATAATTCAACCAGTGAATGCGGTTTCTTGTAATTGGCATTTATCACCAGGTCGCTGTTAGTTAGAATTCAAAATATTTATTTAAAGCCATATGACCAAATCTCTATACTGGCACGCTCCACAAATTTTCTTTTTAAGCTAAATTTTCCTATTTGAAGACAATATTGCGCAAGAGTCGTTCGTTCTCAATGATTTTTTGTACAGACCGTCTGCGCTACAAGATCAAAGAAAATTCGCCTTTTAGCAAAAGTGTAGACACGAAGCAATCTTATATAAATATTGAGAGGAAATTTGCCATAAGTAATTTTTACTGATGCAACGTTATTGAAATGCCTACCTGACAAATAATGAACGAAAGCGTCAAGTCGATATCCGTCTCTTTGTCGATAAGCGTATGATGTGAATTCGTTTGTCTGCGATAATTCCTTTTAGTTTCGAATGATAAATATCTTTTCGCCTTTGTACCGAAGCTGGTCTAGGCATGAATAGCACGAGCAGCAGTGGAATAAAGCCACGGGAAAACTACCTCGCTATTTAAAAGCAACTGTCACAGAATGGTGAGAAATAAGTTCTTTAAGGTCAGATGGCCACGGAAAAACGCCAATTTAAAAAATTTTCGTCACTTAAAATTATGGCAAAGTACGTATTTGATCAGTCGCTACGTGAACACAAACGAAACAATGCTGAGTAAAATTAGAACAAAACCACGTTGTCAAGTTAAAAGCTGCATTTCTGACAGCTTTAAAAATGATGGACAGGAAAATAATAAAAAAAAAATAACAAAAGAGAGAGGGCTTGCATGAATTCAATCAATGGCGTTACGTTTCCTGACCACCTTTTTTGGGAAACAATTTATTGAAATATGAACACGGAACTAAATTTGCAGAAAGAAAGCGCAGCGGAAGACATAACTTGCTGAGTCATGCAAACACTGAACTGCTTCCATAGTCAAAGTTTACGAGGAGGAAAGTTTGCGTTATGCGAAAATATAGTCAAAAAAACGTAATTTTAAATTAGAAAAAGTACGTACGAGGGAAGAGGCTTGCCTAATGGCAATGGTTACCAAGCGACATGCATACGATATTGGTGGTTGAAACATTCACCGCACAAGACCGAGAGTATAGTGTGAACATTTTTCATAAATTTTTAAGTCTGTTTATCTCGCAACCACATGTTTTGCTTTCTATGCGTTGAAGATGTAATTTTTGCACAAAAAAAAAAAAAAAAGACGAACGAGATAAAAATTTACTCAATCGAATTGACCAAATATACAGAAGAGAAAATATTTGACCCAATCACCAAAAGCGTTTAACTTTGTGATGGTTTAGAAAAAAGATTTCTGTTTCAACAAGAACGACAAAAATATTACAAATAGCAAGTGAAAAAATTCATAGCTTGTGTTTTTTTTTATTTTTTCAAAGAAATTGGGAAGCAAACGATGTGTGAGATAAAAATGAACGCTTGAATCAAAGCATTAATAATCCTCCAATTTTTCGAGAAGTTATGAGCTTGTTTAAAGGACTATGCAGAAATTATTGAAATGTAAGAACTGGAGGCCTTAATGAAACTCTTGAGAAGTTTTAAGCAACATTTCGAAAAAGGACGGAGAAACCTAATTATGAACCTGATAGCCTTCGTGAAATGGCTCCTCCTGTTGACGGATACCTGACCGAGAAAGAGTACAAACGCTCGCCGGATTAGTGGTGGTAGACAGTTGAAGGGCTCGAAGAAAGTTCTTGAGCGAAAAACAGAGCAACTGCGGTGATAAGGCATGAAAATAAACACGATGATACACATTCATACTTTAAACACGGGCTGTTTACTTTTTAAAGTTCTCGCGTTCCACAGAAACAGGTAATTTTATCATGTTATGAAAATTACACAACAACCAAAAAAATAAAAATAGGCAGCCAATAGCTGCACATGTCTCCTGCTAGTTTGCATAAAGTAGCCGTAACTAGAATTGACCAGGGTTCACAATGAGTCCTATTGTAACTTCTCTCAGCGGTTTCCTAGTTTCCAATCTCCGCACAACATTAGCATACTACAATAAGTTTCGTGCCAATCAGTCAAATTTTTCTGGAGTGTGTCTGTATGTCGCTTCGTACAAGTATTCTAACTGTCAGGTTTGTTCTTGCTTTCCTTTCTTTGTACCTTGTAACATTTTTGGCGATTGCCAACCTTAATGAAGTATTTTATAACCCAACTATCAGATACAAATGTTGGAATATTGTTTAAGGTGGAGAACTGTTGCATAAACCCAAAGCAACTGAAGTACTTTGCCGAATATTACACAGCACGTACGTTGTGCACTCACGGATTCCAATAAGATTGTTCTGAACTACTTCTGTTCCCTTAAGACCAGCCACAGTGGTAGAAGGATAAAACTAAAAGCTTTCAAGCGGATTTGCCCGAGGTTTTGGGGTAGAGCCAGAATTTAAAGTTTTATTTGTGCCTGCGTGGGTAGCAGGCTTGTTACATAGTTACCGAGTGGAAACAATATTTGATGGCAGGGCTGCTCGGAGCATCGGGAAGATACAACTCGATCTAATCATCACCAGGGACCTTACGGAAGCCGCCAAATGGAAGAGAATATGTCTTTTTTCTTTTTTTTTCTTTAGCTGTTAAAAGATTGTGTCACTTCAAAAGTTTATCAAACTGTCATTGAAAATTACTGATTCAATTTACGCTAGACCTGAAGCTGATCTGATCTGAGTTGGTTGCGTTCGGAAAGTATAAACAGTAGAATGCAAATTGATAAGACAAAAAAAAAATGCAAAAAATTGAAATACGATGGCGATAGCAAGAGTAAAGAGATTATAAACAATTAATATTCTCTTGCAAGGGGGTTACAGTGGGGTGATAGCTTTCCGGCTAACGATTAAAATTTTGGCCATTTTACGGATAAAAACACAAAATGACACATTGTAGAAAGGAAAATTTGTTCCGTTAACTTTTTTAGGACTAATGGTTAAAATCTGTAAATTTTTTGAACGTTTAACGGCTGACGGTCAGACCCTCTTAGTAGTAGAATTTCTCATTTTCTGTTAAAATAAACGAGAAAATTTTATCACGAAAACAAGAGAAAAAAGCACAAGAAAAATAGGGAAAAAAAGAACTAGAATTAAAGACTGTAAAAGCAAAGAAAAAAGGAAAAAAAAGAAATTGCGGCAAAAGACATGACATAATCTTGTATTCTTAAAAGTCTGTGTTTTTTAACGTTTTTTCTTTTGAAAATATCTCAACGGCGACAAAGTACATTTATGGCAGATATTACGAGAGGTTTCATTCAAGAACTGCAAAATGATCCTTTATCATTTTTTCTTTTCCCGCAGAAAGATAAAACATATTATTAGCTTCAAACTTGTTTGCAATTTAATTTGTATTTTGTTTACCGAAAATCCATACTGCCGAAGGGTATCAGAAGTAAAATCAACGGAAATTTCCGTTTAGGAAAAATTTACATCTCAAAGGATGCCTCGTTAAGTTAAATACCGATTAACAGATAAATAGAATTGAAGGTCTTTCTAAGGATGTCGATGCTCTCTAATGCGATCAGTGTTTTGGCTGACATAAAATGTAAGACAATTAATGGGCTTCACTAATTCTTAAAATTTTCTTAGTCTTTGTATAACTGAAAACGACAACCTATTTATCAAAGGTAAGCAACATTTGAAACTCCGGATACGGAAGCAATTTCTAAAGGTTTAAAACGTTTTGAAATATAATATTTTACATTAAAGGCTTTATCATGCCGTTTTTAGTTTTGCTTCTATATTTCTAGGCCATTTTTTTGGAGATATTTTTCGCGTTAACTTTATGCTTATGATCAATGCGTCCATCAGTTCGAAACTTCAACACCCCTTGCGCAACACCTGAGCAACCCTTTGGGCATTTGAGCTTTTGAAGATTGGTTCGTTCAAATTCCTGCCATCCCCTTGGCCAAATTGAGTTCAGATGCTCACCCAAGAGCGGGATTTGATTGTCAATTTTTCATACAGGGCAAAATCAGCGACCGTGACTTTCTTCACACTGACCAAGCTTTAAAACCCAGACCTTGTAGACCTTTCTTTCTGAGCCAGCTCAAGAAAGTGAACTCTTCACCTTAAAAAACCTCCACATTAAAAGAAAAAACACGTGAGTGCGGCTGGGAATACTTGACACCTCCCCACCACACCCTGCCGAGGTTCAAACTCACCAACCTCCGACGTAGACGACAGTCAAATGCCCGTTGGTTGCCCGGGGAAGGGAATGTTGAAGTTTCGAATTGATCGGCGCGAAAGAAGTCAGCTTCAAGTCAGACGAACCAATTCGCTGGAGCAACCCAAAGTACAGTTTCTTTCCCCTGAAGGAGACCAGAGTTCATTGCAAGTTGATCAAACTTAGCATTTCCTAATCTTCCTTTAAAAGTTGACCGATTTTTCATTTTATTTTTGTGGCGACGCATGAAGAAGAAAACATTAATTTCGTGTTTCGTGAATCACTCCGACTGAAGTATGGTAATTGAACTGAAAACTTCCTTAAGGAAGATTGCGTGAAACCTTTTCTTAGGTAGCGAGTGTAGGGGGGGGGGAATATAGGTTCAAAAACATAACGCGTCATCAAACCTTGCCTTAAGTTTAATTCAAATTAATTCAAATTAAGAACCACTTTTAATTCAACCACAATGATTTTCAAAAGACAAAGCAAAATTTTGTGGCGCTTGTCTTAAGGTGCAGAGCTGTTTAGGTATACTGTGAAAGAAAAAACTCATTAAGTTAATTTGATGGCGCTATTAAAAACGCGAGTTCCAGATCATCTTCTTTTGTCGCTACTTTTTTTTTTTTAAAGCGCTTTTTATGTTCGTTGGCTCCACGCTCGTAACGCTTATTTGTAATTTAATTTTAACCCTTGCCGCAAAAGTGGCGCCTTGTGATTTCAATTTAAAGATTCATTTGAACATCAGGAAATTAATGAAATCCGAACAAAGAAAGATGTTAAACGGAAGATAGATATGTTTAAATTTCACACTTTAGCCAGTCTCTCAGGTGAATATTTGCTGATTATGTAGGCGGCACCTTCCATCTTTCGACTTTCGAAGTGACTGATCTTATCACGCCAGAAAAGTGTTCTACATCAAAAAGATCTTTTTTCCTCGTTCGCAAGGAAGCATAGTAGGGCTGGTTTAATATCTCAAAATACATCCAGGTTAGTACATTATAAAACAGTTTCCTGAACAATAACATTAATGATGTTTTTCGCCACACAAATGAACGCGTAATATCAATTTATTATTCACTTTTTCTTGTTTTTGCTTTCCACAAAAAAGCAGGTATATTAGGCTATTTATCTCACCTTTACATCAAGTTTGTTTGCTATTTTTCCTTAAATGCCCTAGAAATAGAAGCAATACCATAAACAGCAGTATTTACGATGCAACAATACCTCCATGTAGTCGCTCTTGTAAGCTTATACTGAAAAATATCAGCTTGCCCTCAGTAACCGCTATAGCTGTTGGTATCTCAACAATAGCCGTAACCAAAGTTGGATAATAATAATAATAATAACATTTTATGAAATAACCTTGGACTAGAATAAAGTTTTTCTTGCGTGTAAAAAAGGCCGCGGGTTTTTTATTAGACGTAAATATAGATTTTTGATTTGCATACTTTAATACATTCGCTTAATTGATGTTCGTTTTCCTCATTTTCAAGGAATAATCCTCAAATGTGTTTTAAAATTAGATTCGCCCGTTGTAAGTCTCATAAGAATTGATTTTACTGATATTCATCGCTGATGAAATATCAGACCGTCATATATACCTTTCCGGCAGGATACGATCTGTTTAAGGGGAAAAACGATTATTCCTCTTGGTTTCAAGATACGTTTAAGATATTCATGGTGATAATTAGACTGTG